TGTGTGTGAGTGAGTGTGTGTGTGTTGTGAAGGAAAGGAATAGTCGACGTGAATGATGGCCGGTCAGTTCTATAAACCACGAGCCGCTACTGCCTGTGTCATCTTGACTGTTCGCCAAAAAGTTGTGTTGCTGTAGAGCCTAGCACGGCAACTTTTGATTCCATAGACCAGCACACAATTCATTACGTAGATCTATGTCAAGACTAGCTTATCATTGTGTAATAAAGAAAAAGAATGTTCAACGCCCGTTTTGCTAGTGCCCCCCCCCCCTCCCCGACACGCACATACAGCCAAAGGTGTGCAGGCCGCCCATCCGACCCCGACACACACCGGAGTAGACACGTGTGCGTGCCAACAACGCATGTGTTGGTATGAAAAAAGGCCGCTGATTGGTCGCCTGCTATTGGCTAAGTGAATAATGGTTCACGATGCAGGTACAATGGATGGTTTCCGGGAATAGAGTTCGTTGTGGGAGAATTATGAGGGAAGCCACGTCTGCGGGGGCTGTTCACCCTGGAAGCGATCCCGCTGAATCCGAGCTCGCTGATTTAAGTTTTCGTTGAATCCAGGTTATTTTTATTCATTTTAAAGAAGAAAAAAAACGGGGAATCTACCTCATCTCGTTGAATCCGAGTTCTCGTTGAATCCGACTTCCTCTGTAATGCAATTAAATGTGTGGGAAGAGTAATTGGGCCTAAATTCACTTGATATTAATGTACATACAGACTTCAACATTGGTAAAGGACCACCTTGACAGACAGCCCTAATTTTTAAAAATCCGAAAAAAAGACAGCAAGGAATGTTTTAACATTTTTTGCTCTAAAAGTGTTAATGGGTTACCAGTGCGTACTGCAAAGCTTCCAAAAGGGGCCAAAACCAAATGCTGTTTTTATACTATATATATAATTGGTGTAGGCTGAATCCGACTGAAAACTATTTCACAGTACTAAATGTTTTACTTTTTTCTGAAACAGAAAAGGGTTGCTGGTTATAGAGAAAAAGTTTCATAAAAATAACATTGAGTTCTCATATTATGTCAAGTATGGGTTGATCATTTTCCCCCAGTGTAACTGCAGTCCAGAGTCCAGTATCTGCAGATATTTAACGTATTCAGGGGTACAGAGTATAGGGATTGTGAAAGTCATTTTATTACACAATCCCAATTTCAGTTACATTGAAGTTGAAGACTATCTTACTTAAATCCTTTGAATCTTGGTCCCCAGAGCCTTACACATATAAATGTACACTTACAGGGCCTGTGCACCAGAGTTCCATTAAGTTGACTACCAGTTGCACCATGCCATATTGAGGCGTACCTTTGGTACTGGTACACTGAAGGGTATGCTTTCTTGGGTCCTAAGGGTCGCGATAATCTGTTTATTTAATGTTTTCAGAGAGATATTTATCACAAAGATGCTGATATTTCAATAATGATGATGTCTGAGATTGTGAGTTCAGGTCTATTGTCAAATTTAGGGACTGAAACTGAAATCATACACTGCCACTTATATGTATAATAAAGTCATGCACGTCTGACAGTTCTTCAACTTTATGATAGTTGTGTGGAATTTTGCTGTTTTCTGTGAGTGATGCTGATGAACTGAAACACTGAGACTGGTTCAATGTGTATCTTGTTGATTGTTTGATATGTGGGATTGAAATAAAGAGTACCTTGTAGAGCAGCTCATATCATTTTCCCAGTCTAGGCTTCTGTAACAGACTTAAGGTTGAGTCACTGAAGAAGCAAGAACATTCATTGTAGTCATAGTACATGGAAAGGGAAAGCAATGACTTTGCAAAAAATTCAGTGACGTGGACGGTGAAAGCAATGACTTTGCTAAAATCGCTAGATTTTAATTTTATTTTCAAAAAATCATTGTCCACAACTTGACTTTCCAAATCTGAGGTAGTAAGCTTTGTTTAAGAGTTCACAATAGGCATCATTTCCTTTTCTCTCTGAGTGTATAGCATTACTCTGTATTAGTGGCTGTTTGTGACATATATGCCGCTCCCTGGGTTTCTTTAGTTACCAAAGCCCCAAGTTCCTTGCTACTTGAGTCTTTAAAATGAACTTAACGTTTTCCAATAGGCATGTTAGCACCAAAATACAGTCAAACGTATTCCGTCACTCTTGACATAAGTATGAGTTGGTGGAATAGCAGGGCTAGCGGATTAACAGGGTTCCTCTGACGTATCCCTGTCTGCCCAACGACAAGGGAAATGGTTCTGCTGTTTATCTGTGTTTGAAAAGTGTCTTTTTGTAGGCGATTATATGGACATGACGTATTTAGAGCTAAGAGTCTTCTCTCTCTGTCTGTCTCTCTCACTCTCTCTCCGTCTGTCTCTCTCTGTCTGTCTCTTTCTTTCTCTGTTTTTGTGTGTGTATGTGTGTGTGTTTGTTTGTGTATGTGTGTGTGTGTATGGGTGTACAAATCAAACCCAGCTGAACTTTACATAAATTCAATTGAAAATTTCATGCGGATGAGAAACTAGATTATGTCCAGGCCCCAATAATGTACAATATGGTGTATCTTTTCTCCTTTTTTTGGGGGGGGGGGAGGCAGATGCCCATCAGGTCCTTAAAGGCTACAAACTTAATATCGTGTAGACTTGATTGCCAGTTCTCACAAAATAATAGCCTCACAGGCACCAGCCAGCCTTAAGGTCATCAGACTATGCCAAATATTTTGCTTGGGGGGAGGGGGGGGGATTGAAGGTGGCTTAGGAGAGAGATTATCAAGCAGCCAACGAATGGGTGCCATGTGTATTGTGTACCTTTGGCTGCCAGTTTGTTGGTGGTATGGTAGGGCTTTAGACAGTGTAAAAACTTATTAAGTTCCATTGAAATCAAAATATGCTTGTTCAGAGGCAAGTGGTCCTATCAAGCGAGGAAAAATGATCTCATACATGAAAATCAGTAACACTGCAGGCTGAATAAACAGCAGTAGATTCTAGTAGGGCAACAGGAAGAAGAAGATAAAGAGAGGTTTCCTATCAAACGTCTATCGTCCTAATCTCTAGTCCTTCTTTTTTGTGTATCTGTAACTCTCTTGTAACACCTTTAATCTTTGTCTCTTATATGGCCTTATTGTGTTGCAAGTGCCGTAAAACTCTTACTAAAATTAAAAACTGCAGGGTAATTTACTTTCCTAAAATTTAAAAAGCATTTCACTAGACTTTTTGGTTTCTCCCGAGTTGACATTTAAAATCTCAGATCCTTAAATTTTACAGGACCAGGCTTTGTCCTTGTGTTATGGTCATCTGTATGCTGCAGCTCGCTGACATTGATAATTTCCACAGTTGCTGGGAGTCAGTGGTGCCTATTTCTTGAAAATTGTAGGCCTATTTTTAATTTTTTGGGGGTAAAGAATTATGTTTAATTTTTTTTCAGAGTTTTGCCCATTTTATTAGGGATACAAGTCTACTTTCTTGCGACACAGTGGTGGGATTGAAGAGGTTAAAACATGTTGAACTATTGATTATACTTTATTTTTAAAGTGGAACAGATTTATTGATGGCCTCCATCCCAATGTGCCTGTCAAGAAACAGGAAAACTTTTCTAACAGTCTGCACAATTAGACTGAGTGTGAGGAACAGATAAACAGATGAAAAGTGAAAAGGGGCTGTAGGAGGGACAGCAAATGATTACTGAAAACCTCAATAACCACAGTCATTGTATGTGAAAGAGGAAGTGAAAGCTAATTATGTTTGTCTTTCATACTTTGCAGATACCAAGCCTGGATGCATACCCAATAGCTTGAATGTTCCTTTCATGGCCTGTTTGAATGTCGATGATCGTACAGTGAAGACAAATGAGGAGTTGGAGGCATTGTTTAAATCTTCTGGTGTTGACCTTACCAAACCACTAGCTGTCACCTGTGGATCTGGTAATGAATTTATTTGTTTTTACAGTTGTGTAGTGTACATTTCTTTGTTTGCAATTTTTTTAGACCTTTTTTTTTCTCGCTATCCTACTATTGTGATAACTAGGTCATTGTTTGTTTTTGTCTTGTGAAACCGTGAAGACCTAGATCCTTTTCAATTTACACACAAAGAAAAAAGATTGGTGAAGATGCTGTTACTAGTTTATCTGGACACCATTAAAAATAACTACCTTGAAACACCTGGTTCTTCTGCAAGAGCTTTGTTTGTTTATTTCTCATTGGCCTTTAACTCATTTGAGCCTGAGCTATTTTTCACCCAACAACCATTGCAGTCTGACAGTTTTGGGGTATATTGAATCGTTAACCACCAAAAGACAGTGAAAGCTTTTTTTTTTTTTTTAATGCAACAAAAGAAAGAAAGAAATGCTCTCACAAAAAAAGAAAACTATATCTGATTTGTCTGAATTTTTTTTTTTTTTTCCATCAGTATTTTGAAAAGGCAATGTCTTGGGGTTACACAATTTTTTGTGCGCACAATTTGTAACAGAAATCGTCTGTCGCGCGCAGGGGCGACTGACTTCGTTCGTTACAGCTAAAAAGTATCTCACATTTCTTCACCAAATTTTTTACGAAAATAAACAAGTGGGTCAACTGTAGCTTGCTGCCTCCTGTAGCTTGTACTGAAAAACACCAGAGATATCAATCGATAAAGCGCATCCCTTAAATACACGAGATTCTGCCACCGGGCCAGCAGGGCGTCCCCTAAATGCATGGGAATAGGGTCAAGTGTGTTAATACCATCCAACCCTACATGTTGATAAAAAAAAGTTGTTAAATCTGAAAGTTTATGTATGTATCACAGCATGGATATTAGATTTTCTCACTGCCAGGTCAAAATTTGTTAAACCTAACAACGCTATGTCAGAAATTATTGAAAAAATACAGATGTGCCTCAGGGTTGTGTCCCATCCCCTATTTTACATACCATCTACATCAACATCTATAAATGTACAAATAGAGAATAGCATCACTAAATTAGCTGATGATTCCATCTTAGGGATCATCCATTATAATTTTTTATAAAGAAACTTTGAGGAAGAAAATTTGTTTGTCAGATGGTGTGGGGATAACCTTCTAAAGATAAATTTTATGTTAGTAAATACAAAGAGGTAATTTTTATATTCAAGACGTTCTTACCAAAGGTCACCCAGAACTTATAAATACTAAGGAATCATTGTTGTGAACAAGCTGTACATGATGGAACGAATATGTTGACAATCATAATAATAAAGCCTTATTACAGGCTGTATTTTCCCCCCGGGGCAGTGCCACTGACTGTAGTGTTTTTAGGCCATTCCCAAAGGGGGGACATTTCTCGTTCAAGTACAGTAGAATTGTAAATGGGCTGATTCATCATGTCACGCTCATAACTGTGCCGGATCTGCAACAGGGAACTGCTGCTTTTTCTTTCCTAATTCTTACTATTGTCATTTTCCTCTATTTCTTTTGTATGTTTGTCACTCTTGTGACCTGCTATTTCCGGGGTGCCTAGATAGTCGAAGCAGACCTTGTGCTGTTGAAGCTAGAGAGGTGAGCAGAGAAAGTCTGATTCCCTGTAAAGACTCCTCTGTTGACACCTACGCCTTGGCGCTCATATGACCTTACGCAGTTGCGAGCACAGTAAAACCCTCTACGATAAAAAAAAAATTTAAAAGGCTATATTTTAAAAAGAAATTATAGTCATTCGAAATTGACAGAAATACGATAGAAACTTTCTACAAGGCATCACTAGAAAGCTAAACTACTTTTGGAATTTCATGGTATATCAGTAACACCTCTGAACAACAGCAATTTCATTTGGACAGAGTTATACTACGGAAAGCAGCAAAATTTATTAAAAGTTTACTCTTCCCTTTCACTGAGCTTTACAACATCAATATTGTGAAAGCAGTAAAGAAGATCATTGATGGCACCAAATGCCCGTTAATTTAGGAATATCGTACATAATCTGGAAGAGGTAACATTTTTTATATTTTTTATGCAAGAACCAAAAAGTTATAAATATTTATTCCTTATTATTTTTTTAAATGCAAGAACCAAAAAGTTATAAATATTTATTCCTACAATTATCACATTTTGTATCATGTCCATCCAATGACTATTCATGTGTGTGTGCGTTTGTGTGTGTGTGTGTGTGTGTGTGTGTGTGTGTGTGTGTGTGTGTGTGTGTGTGTGTGTGTGTGTGTGTGTGTGTGTATCGTATCTTATATATATTTTGCTTTTTCATGTCTTTAGTATTTTCTTATCTTATATATATTTTGCTTTTTCATGTCTTTAGTATTTTCTTACCACTGACAATATTTAAGTCCAAGTTTTTTCCCTTTTAGGGACGGTAAGAATACTGTTCAAATTTTATTACTAGCAGAATGCCTCTGATAGGCTACATGTAGCCTGCCAGATAAACATTCTGCTTGTAACCAAATATAATTGTAAATGACTGATCCTTCAGAGCAAAACCTATTGTTTACTTGTTTACTTGTGTGAAGGACCGACATCACTGCACAAGGGGCATCCCCATAAGCGCTCCGTCCCCTGAAGAAGCACATCTCGAAGTGTGTCAAGCAATGGTTGATTCCATCCATAGCCTTCTGCTCCTCCCACAAAGTTTTGAACTCCTGCAGGCGCCCCATCCGATTCCAAGCTCCCGAAGTCGCTCAAGATGATGGTATTCCGACTCTTCTTGTTCTTTTTCTTGTGTTTCCCTGACTTTTTTAGGTTTGTCAGGGCACAGTTTCCCTTCAGGTCTTGCTTTTCCAGCGAGCTCATCATCCCGCTCATTACCCTTGACTCAAGCATGGCCTGGGGTGAAGATCCACGTGATCTTTTTCAGTGTTGTCTTTTTCAGGAGCTCTGTCCATTCAGCTCTAAGGTTCCCACTCTCAATCTTCGTCAGAGTGCTTTGAGAGTCTGTGATGAAGATCACATGTGCTTGTCGAGTTGTTATGGATTGCCTCTATCTCCATTCTCATGCTAGATGTTGTCATATCGTATGCTCTCTGCTGTTCCTGCACCAATCTGCCGCTCACTCTTGCTGAGAAGCCCCATCCAGATTTTTCCTCTCGTTTAACAGATCCGTCCATGTCTACAGCCACATCTCCGTGCCGTGAGTTTTCTTCAATCAGTTGTCGTATCTCAGCATCTGTCGCCCCCTGCGGCCACTCTCTACATTCTCTGTTCAGCGTAATCACTACCTTCCCAAAATCTTCCTGCTGTCTCTTATTCATCTTTATCCATTCTTCACCCCGCTTTATGTCTTCCAAAGGGCAGACTTCCTTTCGGCCTCAGCCATCCAAGAAGCTCCTCGTTTTAGGCAATTTCCCTTGATTGCTCCAATGGCTTAGTGAAGTGGGTTTTGCTTATCAGCCGCCACCCTCATGTTCTCCCTGACTTGAGCCACTTTGTGTCTGTTTTCCACTGACATGAGGCCCAATACATGCCTCATACAGATAACTTGCGTATCCCTGGTGCAGCCTTGCAATAGTATGATGCGCATGGCTTCATTTTTAACTCGATCCAACTTGTCCAGTTGGGTTTTTGTCACGGTCAATACTCCGAGCCCATAATCGATTACTGCCAAGACCAGCTGCTGTTATATAAGAAGCAGTAGCCTTTGTTCCATTCCTGAAGCAGCCATGACCTTCACTGCTTTCAAGCCCTTCTTTGCCCTTTCCACAACACCATCTATGTGATCTTTGAAGGATAGACATTATTTTATCCAAGTGAGCAAAATAGATAAAACTAAATTGCCTTAAAGCTAGTGAGAACAATGTGCCATTATGCACTGGAAACCAGAGTAGTATTGATGATGCCTGCCGTTCAGTCCCGGCATTGAAAAGAATAGGACTGACGTGGTGCTAGCGTGTCATATAAGGCGACTTAATGGCGAAACCAGGTAGTGACTCCTGAAACAGAGTCATCCTCCCTCCAGGTCAGGGGTTGAGTCACAAGGCTAACAACCTCTCTCATAAAAAGACCTTGTTACAGAAACACATACAAACAAAAATCATAATCTCTGCTTGGCTGGTCATGAATTTTCTCAGAATGGAGAGTTTATGATGCGAGGTAGTGAAAGCTGAAAGGAAGCTGCTGGGCAGAAACGGATTAGATCGTGGAACGTTAGAACCCTTTATGAGGCTGGAAAAACTGCACAGGCCCTCCAAGAGATGCACCGATACTGCCTACACATACTAGGAATCAGCTAGACCCACTTAAACCAGTCTGGACAGAAGTGAATGAAAGAGGGGGAGCTTTTCATTTATTCAGGAAATGACAGTGATGGACCACACAGGGAAGGAGTAGGGATGATCATATCCAAAACAGCGCAAAAGACATTCAGGCGCTGGGAAGCGCACAAAAAAGAACTCAAGGAAAGAGATGGTAGGAAGAAGGCCATAAACAAGAACATCATACAAGTGTATGCCCCAAGCAATGATGCAGAAGGGGAGAATAAAGATGACTTCTACAACCGCCTACAGAGTGTGATCGACAAACTTCCAGATAAGGACATCAACATTGTCATGGGAGACCTAAATGCAAAGGTAGGTTAGGACAATCGTCACTGTTAGGAAATCATGGGCAGAAATGGATTAGAAGAGGCAAATTAATGACAACGGAGAAAGATTCCAAAACTTCTGTGCATTCAACAACTTGGTTATTAGAGGAACAATCTTCCCTCATTAAAAAATTCCTAAGGCCACTTGGGTCTCCCCGGATGGAACAACGGAAAACCAGATTGATCATTTTTGCATTTCCCGAAAGTTTAGACGCTCACTGGAGGAGGTCCGAGTCTTACGAGGAGCAGACGTCGCATCAGACCACCATTTGATCCTTGAAAAGATGAAACTGAAACTGAGAAGGTATGCACAAATCTCAACTGGAAGTCGCCAAAAGTATGAAGTGAGTCTTCTAAAAGACCCAGTAAAGAAGAATGAATTTAAGTTGGAATTGAAGAACAGATTTCAAGCCCTTCAAGGTCTGGATGACTGTGAAGTAAACGAACACTTGGACAAGATAAAAGAGGCCGTAAATACAACTTGCCAGAGCATCCTAGGTCTGAAAGTCAACACCAGGAATGAATGGATTTCACAGGACTCTCTTGACAAAATCCAAAGAAGAAGAGAGCTGAAGGCCCAAGTCAACAACAGCCGTACCCAAACTGAGAAACTCGCTGCACAAAAAGAGTACACCGAAGTAATTCGAAAGATAAAGAATTCCTTCAAGAAGGACAAGAATACCTACCTGAATGGCCTGGCCGAAAAGGCAGAGAAAGCAGCAACAGACAGACACTTGGGGATTGTACATCAGACAACAAAACCTCTTTCAAGTAGGTTCTGCAAGCCCACTCTACCAGTGACAGACAAAGAGGGAAAGACTATTTTCAACCCAGAGGGGCAACTGGAACATTTTGATCAACTCTTGAACAGACCACCTCTAGAAGACCGACCAGAAATACTTCCAGCCAAAAATGACCTCCCAATCGCTACGAAACCACATTCGAGAGAGGAAATTGCTGCAGCTATAACAGCACTGAAGTCCCACAAGGCAGCTGGTCCCGTGCATATACCACCGGAAGCCCTTAAGGCAGATAAAGATACATCAGTGGGAATTCCCTATGCTCTATTCGAAAAGGTTTGGCAAGAGGAGGAAATACCATCAGACTGGAAGGAAAGCCACCTAATCAAGCTGCCAAAGAAAGGAGACCTAAACAATTGTAACAACTACAGAGGCATAACACTCCTGTCTATACCTGGGAAAGTCTTTAACAGATGAGAAACTCCAAGGAAACCAGGCAGGATTCTGCAAGAACCGATCATGTGTGGACCAGATCGCTACCCTGAGCATCATTGTTGAGCAATTACTTAAATGGAATTCACCACTCGTGGTCAACTTCATTGATTATGAAAAGGCATTTGACAGCGTGGACAGGAAAACTCTGTGGAAACTCATGCAGCATTATGGAATACGCGACAAAATCGTCAAGCTTGTGAAGACCACCTATGATGGAACAAACTGCCAAGTCTTTCACGAAGGACAACTCTCAGAACCATTCCAGGTATAGACAGGAGTGCGACAAGGATGCTTGCTCTCACCTTTTCTCTTCATACTGGCAATTGACTGGATCATGAAGGAAGCCGCCAGAGGCAAGCGCAATGGAATACAGTGGATCCCTTAGCAGCAGCTGGACGACTTGGACTTTGCTGATGACCTTGCACTACTCTCACACACACATGCTCAGATGCAAGAAAAGACCAAGGAACTCAACAGCCTATCAAGGAGTGTTGGCCTACGTATACCCGTGGGAAAGTCGAAAGTAGTGAAGCTAGGAAAAGTGTCAAGCCCTATTGTGACTGTGTAAGACAATCCCATAGAAGAAGTGGACTCCTCTACCTACCTTGGAAGTGTCATCGATGGTAAAGGTGGAACAGAGGCAGATATAAAAGCAAAAACCGCCAAGGCAAGGTTAGCATTCAAGTAATTATCGAAAGTCTGGAAAGCAAGCAACATCTTTATGGGCACCAAGATTCGACTCTTTATTTCCAATGTCAAGTCTGTGCTCCTCAACGGCTGCGAAACTTTGAAGACAACAAAGACATTGCTAAATAAAGTCCAGACTTCCATCAACAGATGTATGAGGAGTTTCCTAAGAATTAAGTGGCAGGATAGAATAAGAAATGAAGATCTGTGGGAAAGGACAGGACAAAAGGAGAAGTAGAAATAGAACTAAGGAAGTGACGTTGGATGAGACACACCATCAGAAATTCCAGCGGAAACATCACAAGACAGTCACTGCAATGGAACCCACAGGGAGCACGAGGCAGGGGTAGGCCACAGGAAACATGGAGATGTGTGGAAAAGGACATGAGAGAGATGAAGCTCACTTGGAACGAGCTAGGAAGGATGGTTCAGGACAGAGATAAATGGAAGGAGCTTGTATATGGCCTATACTCTGCCAGGGGTGAAAGGCACTGATGATGATGATGATTGATGATGCAGACAAAAATGAATTATACAGTGTAAGTTTGGGTCAGTAAAATTACCTAAGGAAGAGGTAGTTAATGGAAGAAAACTTACCTCTTTGTTCAAAGGGAAAGTAAGTTGAGAAGGAGGAATGTGGGATCACAATGCAATGGAGAAACCAACTCTCGTATGATTGTAAAATTTTTGGAAACCACCCCCCACCAGTCCTCTAAAAGAATGATACCAAGACTTGACTTGCTCTTTTATATCCCAAATGAATGTTGCATTCATCCAGAAAAAGAAGGAAAAAGTCACAAAAATTCCTTCACTCCATGAGCATTGCTTTTAGAGTCTGGAAAAAATAATACTAATTGAATTGATTAATCCATGTGTATTAGTGTACGATAAGTGTGACCATGAATCCTGAGCTCATATTATTTTTAGAGACAGCCTACATTTAACAAAAATGTCATTTTTTGTTACAGGTATTTCCTCATGTGTCGTAGCTTTGGCAGCCTATCTGTGTGGCAAGGAAGATGTCGCTTTGTATGACGGCTCTTGGACAGAATGGTATAGAAGAGCACCAGCCAACCTCAAGAAGAATGTCCCTTCTGACTAATGGCATGCATGCTCATGACAATGAAAGTACATTTTCTGAACAGCCTTTTTTGTGTGTATTTCTTTCTTTTAACTGTAGAGATCATTATCATTGTTGTAGGGTTATAATTTCCTTATGAAGTTTGCCATAAAAGCTGAGTTTCACATCAGAAATAAGTCTGATGTGGAAATTTGATACATGTATTGGATAAAATGACACTTGGCAAGTGCTCTGGGCGTGTTCAGGCCTTCAGGGGCAAGAATCGTTGTTTTACGTTCTCTTCTCATAGTGGTATTTACTTCCCTTACCATAGTCATGCACCACCCAATCTTACTTGATGCTTCACTTTGTGTGCCATTATTAAACAGATTCCATTAGACATGAAGAGAGCTGTCAAAACCATACCTGCCGTGAGCATGATGTGTTTTTAGCTCAATAATTAATTCTTTACAAGTACTATTACTGTTGGGTTTTTCCTATTAAAAGAATTTTTAAAAATCTCTTCCAAAAAGTTGAAAAAGTAAAAAGAAGGCTGCAGATCATGTAATTCCTGTGTTATTTCTTTATTTTGGATTGTGCAATGGAATATTTTGAATACAGTGGACTGTACATTAGCTGATGTTAGTTGATCTTCTTACACACAGGCTTCATCTTTACCATTACGCCAGGTTACCTGATTCTTGATGTGTTTTTTGCCCCCTTTGTTTTCCCATCTGATAAACAAATATTAAATGCTGAGTTGATTTCAAATGCTGTTACTTCAACTTTTGTCCCCCCTCAACTCTTTTCAATTTTCCTTTGAAGCTAGATGTTGTTCCATGAGATGTTTGGTTTTTGTTAACACTTTTTCTATTACCTCCAATGTTTTTTGTTGTAGGTTATACAAGTGCAGAAATGTTTTATGTGAGAAAGAAATTTGATCCTTATACTTTTAGAAAATTCAAATGAGATATGCAAGTTCGGAAGACAATGGGACTGGACAGGCCATAAAGGGAAAACAATAATATGTTAACCTTTAGTCATAGATATGGGTTGGGAATTCTAAATTGGTGCAAAGCAAGGCAGCCGGGGAGACTTGCTGGTGATAGGCCGCAATGAGATGCAGTGTCGTTGTTTACAATTTACGTTATCAGTTATGTCTAGTGATATGGTTTTGAAAGATTCTCTCCCAGATAAATTGAAAGTTAGTCTAAAAAATGATACCGGGTAGCTACATTTATGATGCTGCGATTTTGGGTTTACATACAGTAGCCTACCATTTGATAATGATAAATAATCTTTTCTCTCTATAAGTGAGAGCGTAGTGGAATCAGGTGCTCGTCAAAATGTTGAAATTAAAGAAACTGACATTTTCTCGTCAGTTTGACATTTTTAAAATCGAATTTTCGATTTTTGGCTCAATACCTTTTATTCCCTTTTCAAAAACACATAAACTATGAGGATTTTACCGAAAAAGCTGTGAAAATGCACAAAAACTGTTAATTTTCTGTTTTCAGGTACTCTCAAACTATGGGAGTTTCCAAGTTTTGGGGTCCATTTTTTTTGCTAATTTTACCTCTGATACCCAGCCACCCCCCACCTCCTTGAATCATAAATATCTTGACTTATATTCAAGATAAATGGTTGTGGTTTTCATCAAAAGCAAGATAGATGAACAAGCTTTAACTACTTTAAGATGATACTTTTAATTTCACATGCCCAAAAACTGATGAGCACCTGATTCCACTGCGTCGTGACACATCATTCCCATAAAACAGTATGAGTATTCTTCAGAAAACCACTCTTATAGTTTGGATCAGATCAATTCTAAATTTAGAATTGAATCTTGAGTGAGAATTGATGGGTTAGGTCTACTTTTTGTGTTCGGCCACCGCATTTTTGTCGTACATGTACAGTCAAACCTCGTTATACCGCCACCCTTGGGATGGGCTTGAAGTCGGAACAGCACGGCTGGCGGTTCCACAGGGTTCCTTTGTTGTAGAGTCCAGACTGCCCAACATCAAGGTACATGATTCTGCTGTGCTATCTGTGTTTGAAAAGGGTCTTTTTCTTGGTGAGATACATGTAAATGCACATGTATTCAGAGCCGAAAGTCTTGTCTCTCTCTATGTCCATCAATGTCTTTCTTGTGCAAGAAAGATTATCAAGTAGCCAACCAGTGGGTGTTGTACGCAGTGTGCTGTGTGTATCTCTTGCGGTCAGTTCACTGGCAGTATGGTGGCATAAATTCACATTAGTTGAATAAAGACAGTTCAACTCGACAGTTGGCAGATGACAGTGTGCAGGCGAAAATACTCTGTTTGTATAGCTTTTTTTCTTTTCGTACATTGGCAAAACCTGGCGGTAAGCGGGGCTGGCGGTACAACAGAGGATAGTACAACGAAGTTTGACTGATCATTAAAGTTTTCTTCTATTTCTAGATTTAATTTAGTCAAGATTTTAAAAAGCCGAAAAAATATGGCTTAAAAAGAATGTTTTCGCTAGCTATATGTATATGTATATATATATATATATAAATAGATTCTTTTTAAAATAATTTTAGTATAATATATTATATATTAAATATATTATATTTCTCAGAAAAATTGAAAAAAAATCCCAGATGTTATTTCTCTCAATACAAGTTTTAGTGTCATTTCTTTACACTCTATACCTAGGTCTAGATCCAGAAGACGAGAATTGCTCATTATCACCTTGACAAATCAGTAAATAAGGTCAGTTTCACGTTAAATGCTGACACACAGCTTGGTTGTACAATCAAAGAATCAAAGTATTGTTGACAATGTGCATAAATGTTAATTGCCTACTATGGGAAAATTTGGTCTGGCCCCTACTTTGGAAACTGAGAAAAGGTACATGTACTCTGAATGTGGTGGGGAGTTGAATTTAAAAAGTGTGAGTGTCTGCATTTTTGTGAAAAGGCACAGTGCAGATATAGCACACTTAACTTTGGTCTCCAGTCAGGAGACTGAATTTGGAGGAAGTGTTATGGGAAGTGCAAGAAAAATAATTATTTAAGTCCCTCTTGTTATCTCAGATTGGAACCTAAAACTATAACTTTTAACATGTTCAGCTAGTTCTGTCCAACTGTGCCTCCACAGCCAATGATATTTTTTTGTTTACTATGTATTATTTATTTATGTTTTGGTTTAATAGTGATAATAACTGAAAATGCATACTGTTGCCCTATAGTAAAGCAAACTTTCTTGTCAATTTTGTAAAAAAAAAAAAAAAAAAAAGAACTTTAGACTTTATGTATTTACACCCCCCCTCTTTTTCCTTAAGGTTAAGGAGCATTGAGTACACCCAATACACACATAGAGGATGTGCTGCTGCTCCTCAAAGGGTGGCTTAAAGTTCTAACGTGAATGAGATATTATATACTACATGTATAACTACTCTCAGGTGAAACTGAGTTTCGATCCCCCCAATCTAAAAATACCTGAAAAGTATCTTTTGCACATGAGGTCATAGCAACCCTCCTTTAGAGTGAAGACTCCAGATCTATACTGTAGATCTAGTAAGTTCTGAACGGAGGTCTTAGGTTCTATTTTACATATTTTGTGTGTGTTTACTTCAGTGTCTGTAGTGTGGCGGATAGGCACTTTGCCATCATATTCAAAAGACTTGGGTTTGATTCCTTAGTGGGGAAAATCTTTTTTGAGTATTTCAGTCTTAACTCTACTGGGATGCTGCATCCCTCTCAACCATGGTTGGTCTGACTGGCAAGGCTAAAGCCAACCTCCTAAATGATTAAATTGTGTCTGTGGGGGGGGGGGGGGGGGGGTGAACACAAATCACCTTCACTTTTTTTTAATTTAGAAAAAAAAAAAACTTTTTGTGCATTTGAGTTTTATCTTCCCCTCAACCTTCACTCCTCTCTCTTTGTAATGTAAAGGTTTGGTACATGTATAGGATGTATGCCCTGCTCTAAAAATGACCTATTTCTGTCTATTGGGGCGTTGCATTTTTTAAAAGCTTAGGAGGGAAAAACTAGGTATTGTTCTCCAGAGTTTTTCTTTCTTTTTTTTCTCTTTTTTTTGCTGCTGCTGCGATACAGTCTTTGTAACATATCTCAGACCATGATGATAATCCTTGTGTTGAACCATGGAGAAATAGGTGCACGTACAGTGGAGTCTGCTTAACTTAAACTGAAATCTGCAGGACTGTCAATTTTTTTTCAGTTTAGCCAGGTTTTCAGTCTAGAGAGGTCGTTCAAATTCAAACTCAAATAGAAGAAAAAGAAATGAGGGATTTTATTTTCTTTCGGTATAGCACAGTTTTCGGATTAACTGTGTTCAGTTTCAATGGTCCCCACTGTGCATCCTTTTGGCATACCCCAGCTACAATCTGGTTCCATGCATGCATAAGTGCTACTTATACAACTAGTCTAGGGGTATTAGGTTACATTTGGCAGATTCTTTTACATGTACCTCTTGTCAAGCTTTGTCTTTGTAGGCCTACACATTGGGTCAACATATGAATCTGAAACATGAAAGTAGCCTTCATTTATAACTTTTGGTATTAACGATTATTTTAAAAAGCCTACATGAATCACTTTCTCGGAGCTGATATTTGGACTCAAGTTTCAAACTGTTCTTTATAAATGGTAATTGACTTGTTCAGGTACACAGTATGTTTATTTTCTCCTTCTTCTGTTACTAACTCAGTATAAAGATATGGTATTATCATTATTTAGCCCAAGTTTGGCTCATTGTTATCGTTTTTGGGGTGAACATCTGTGGTGTAGCGCTAGGGGCTTTGCCATCGCACATAGAAAACGTGAGTTTGATTATAGAGTGGGAAGAATCTTAATCGAGTGTCTCGATCAGCTTCCAAATTATCTCAAAATTGTGTCAGTGGGGTTGTAAAAAATCACCTACTTTAAAACTTTTATGTGCTCCCAATTTCGTAAAGCCAGATAGTTGTATGCGAATGTGAGTACATGTATAGACTATATATATATATAACACATATATGTATATTTTATTATATGTGTCATGATACGATGGAATCAAGCACCCTGTCAAGGCACTTGTCTATTCTTGGGCATATGGAGTTATTAGTATTATCTTAAAGTTTGTTCAATTATCTTGCTTTACTTTCAATTTTAAAAAATTATCTATCTGTCCTAAATAGAAGTCGAGATATTTTGGATTGAAGGAGGTGGGATCCCCTGGTTTCATTTTTTGCGCCTTCAATCAACGTTTTTCAGTAAAAAGCCGTACAGAAAAATGTTTTTAAATTGAGATTAAAGGTGTTGAGTCAAAAAATGAAAATTCAACAAAAATTGCAAAATTGGAAGAAAAATGCATTTGTTTTTCCGATTTCTTTATTTTGACGAGCGTCTGATTTTTCCAAGCTGCCTCACATAAGCTTTCCAGCAACTGAGCTGTACAGCTGTACTGAGAATGTTTGTCTCTAACCTTTCATTGTCTTTTATTTGAGCCTCTTAAAGTCAAAATATGTTGATGCTGCACACTGGACAAATTTTCATAGATGAACTTCTCTTAAGTAGACCTGCATCTGTCTTAGTGTTGAAATGAATTTTTTCACTCCTCGATATGCAGAGGGGAATGTAGATATAAACATAAAAATGTATGAAGATTATCTATGTTGAAAGATGTTTTCTTATAGCTTACGGCTATTTTAAAAATTTAATCAGAATTTTTCGCCATCTTTTGTCTCTCACAATATTTTGACAAAGTATAGCCTTCAGTGGTTGTTACTTTATAATTAATTAATGATTA